ATAAACTTAAATTTCTCTCTCTCTATCTATCCAAAAAACCAAACTCGTTGCTGTTGAGTCGACTCCAATTCATAGCGATCCTGTAGGACAGAGTAGAACTGCCCCATAGGATTTCCAAGGAGCAGCTGATGGATTCAAACTGCCAACTTTTTGGGTAGCACCATAGCTCTTAACCACTGCACCACCAGGGCTCCATATCTATATATAATATTTTAAAACATGTTCATAAGTGACCTTGTCATAGTTTTATATTTCCCCATCTAGATTTTAACACCCTTTTGGAAGGCACTGTCTTCCTCTTCTTGTGAATTGCTTGAAGGACCACGAGTATTTTTTAATTACAGGAGTTATACAATATATATTAGAAAAAAATAAAATAATAGGACTTATTTTTTTAGTGCAGATTTATTTTAAATTCCTCTATATAGTCTGAATTGGTTTAACTGAGTACAACTAAAGTTAGCACTCCGGCCTGAGCAAAGTTTCAGATGATAGATGTATTGGGTGAGTGAAAGCACTGAGGCTTGGGATTCCGCTGGAAAAAAAATCTTGGACCAACTGAAAAATGATTAGTGAACTAAATTGAAGGCTTTTCCAACTAGGTCTTGAAGCCAACCAGCTTGTTTCCCATCTTTTTTCTCACCTAAGTCTCAGGAGGGATTTGGATAGAGGCTAAGGCACTGTTGACATGCATTTGGATAATCAAAGTATTTTTGTTGTCTTTTTAAATACATTCTACTCAGTTATTTAAATATTATTTCCATAATTTAATGTTTTCATTAAACAAAATCTATGCAACATGGGGTTTGATGGAGGTGGTGTCATGCTAGAGATATTGCAGGCTTGGATAAGAGCATAGAAGGCTTAAAGTTACATACAGTCTTCTGAGTTGAAAGGGCAGACAATTTCAGTGTTTTCACCATTTATCATGATGTTGCTTATTGGTCCAGTTGTGAGGATTTTTGTTTTCTTTATGTTGAGGTGTGATCCATGCTGAAGACTGTAGTCTTTGATCTTATCAGTAAGTGCTTCAAGTCCCCTTCAATTTCAGCAAGCATGATTGTGGCATCTGCATAACGCAGCTTGTTAATAAATCTTCCACCAATCATGATGTCATATTCTTCTTCATATACTCCAGCTTCTCAGATTATTTGCTCAGCATGCAGATTGAATAGGTATGGTGAAAGGATGGATCCCTGATGTACACCTGTCTTGATTTTAAACCATTCAGTATCCCCTTGCTCTATTCGAACAAGTGCCTCTTGGTCTATGTATGGGTTCAGCGTGAGCGCAACCAAGTGTTCTGGAATTCCCATTCTTCGCAGTGTTATCCATAATTTGTTATGATCCACACAGTCGAATGCCTTTGCATAGTTAATAAAACACGGCTAAATGTCTTTCTGGTATTCTCTGCTTTCAGCCAAGATCCATCTGACATTAGCAAAGAAGTCCCTCATTCTACATCCGCTTCTCAGTCCAGCTTGAATTTCTTACAGTTCCCTGTCCATGTACTGCTGCATCCCCTTTTGAATGATCTTCAGCAAAATTTTACTTGTGTGTGAAATTAATGATATTGTTTAATAACTTCCACATTCTGTTGGATCACCTTTCTTTGGAATGGATACAAATATGGATCTCTTCCACTTGGTTGACAGGTAGCTGTCTTCCAAATTTCTTGGCATAGATGAGTGAGCACCTCCAGTACTGCATCCGTTTGTTGAAACATCTCAGTTGGTATTCCTTCAGTTCTTGGAGCCTTGTTTTTCACCAGTGCTTTCAGTGCAGCTTGGATTTCTTCCTTCAGTACCATCATTTCTTGATCATATGCTACTTCCTGAAATGGTCGAACATTGACAATTCTTTTTGGTACAGTGACTCTGTGTATTCCTTCCATCTTCTTTAGATTCTTCTGTTCAATATTTTGCCCATAGAATCCTTCGAAACTGTAACTCGAGGCTTCAATTTTTTCTTCAGTTCTTTCAGCTTGAGAAATGCTGAGCATGTTCTTCCTTTTGGTTTTCTAACTCCAGGTCTTTGTCATTATAATACTTTACTTTGTCTTCTGGAGCCACCCTTTGAAATCTTCTGTTCAGCTCTTTTACTTCATCATTTCTTCCATTCACTTTAGCCACTCCACATTCAAGATGAAGTTTCAGAGTCTCTTCTGACATCCATTTTGATCTTTTCTTTCTTTCCTGTCTTTTTAATGACCTTTTGCTTTCTACATGTATGATGTCCTTGATATCATTCCACAACTCATTTGATCTTTGGTCATTCTTGAGATGGTCTCCAAATTTAAGTGGGATGTACTCAAGGTCGTATTTTGGCTCTTGTGAACTTGTTTTAATTTTCTTCAGTGGCAACTTGAACTTGCATATGAGCAATTGATGTTCTGTTCCAAAGTTGGCCCCTGGCCTCATTCTGATTGATGATATTGAGCTTTTCCTTCATCTCTTTCCACAGATGTAGTTGATTTGATTCCCGTGTTTTCCATCCAGTGAGGTCCACATCTATAGCTGTCATTTAGGTTGTTGAAAAAAAGGTATTTGCAATGAAGAAGTCATTGGTCTTGCAAAATTCTGTCATACACTCTCCAGCATCATTTCTATCACCAAGGCCATGTTTCCAACTACCATTGCTTCTTGTTTGTTTCCAACATTTGCATTCTAGTCACCAATAATTATCAATGGATCTTGATTACATGTTTGATCAATTTCAGACTGCAGAAGTTGGTAAAAATCTTCAATTTCCTCATCTTTGACATTAGTGGTTGGTGTGTAAAGTTGAATAGTAGTCATCTTAACTGATCTTCCTTGTGAACCTGTTGCCATCGAGTTGATTCCACCTATAGTGACCCTATAGGACAGAGTAGAACTCCCCCGTAGGGTTTCTGAGGAGCAGCTGGTGGATTCGAACTGCTGAGCTTTTGGTTAGCAGCCGAACTCTTAACTACCACACCACCGGGGATCATTCTTCCTTGTAGGCATATGAATATTATCCTATCACTGAAACCTGTCCACCAAGAGTGACCCTGCTGGTATTTGAAATAAAAAAAAAAAGAACACACAGTATGACAAACTGATAGACATGTGGTGGTCTAAACAATACGCATAACTTTAAAAAGACAATTTTACAATAACACCCGCAGGATAAATTTTTAATTGACGAAAATGATCACCAAATAAAATAGTGTCTATCTAGAATTTACATGGTAATTTTCAAATTATGCAAGTGAGTTCTCTCATACTTTAGTATCTTCATCATAGAGAGATCATGGACATGGAAAAAGAATGAAATATTCTATCGTATATATTTGTCTTATGCAACTGGATGCCTCCAATCATTTACATCATTTAGTAAATTTAATCATCACCAGATATGGGTATGGAGCCCTGGTGGCATAGTGGTTAAGAGCCCGGCTGCTAACCGCAGGGTTGGCAGTTCAAATCCACCAGCTGCTCGTTGGAAACCCTATGGGGCAGTTCTCCTCTGTTCTATAGGGTCGCTTTGAGTCGGAACCAACTTGACGGCACCTAACAACAACAACAGAAGTGCATTAATAGATCACATTGTATTTTCTAAAATAAATACTGATCCTTTTTCTGTCTTTTAAGTTTGGAATGTTTGCACCTTGGATCCATCAGAAGTACTTAGCACTTCTAGTTTTTGATCCTTTAAAAACAGTAGCATGAGAGTGTGCAAAGATGCATGTGTCAATCGGTTCCTTACATTAGGTATAATAGAAATATGTTTAAACAAACAAATACCTTGTACAGTTGCAGCAGTACACTGACAGGGAACTGCCAGAAATTCAAGCTGGATTCAAAAGAGGACACGGAATGAGGGGTATCATTGCTGATGTCCTGGTAATTCAGTGGTTAAGAGCTCAGGCCGCTAACCAAAAGGTCAGCAGTTCAAATCCACCAGTCACTCCATGGGAGAAAGATGCTTCCATAAGGATTCCAGCCGCGGAAACCCTATGGGGCAGTTCTACTGTGTCCTATAGGTTCGCTATGAGTTAAGTCGAGTCAGCTGTAACTGGGCTTAATATCATTTCCAGTTTTTTATTCTTCTATATAAGCATATATCATAATCTGTGCCTAATGAAATTATTAATGTATTCATATCAATCACTGCAAAAACTGAAAGGTTTTGACATGTTTATTTTCTTTACAATAGTACTTTATGTTAGTAACCCAGTTGCTGCAGAGTCTGATTCATGGTGACCCCTAGTGTCTGATAACATTTGAAAATAATTAGTAACATTTTATGTTTGTGAAACTTTTTAAGCTTCATCTTTTCTTTGTATTACGATCTGTTGGTTGTTGAAGCGCCATCTACTCTAGGTCAGATTGCCAGCCTTATGACTTTCAATCCATTCCTCAGTTGTATATCGTAATTTCTGTGTAATAACTGCATTTGCTGCCTCTGTTCTTTCATATGAACACATTTCAAAAGGCTTAAATTGAAGATGACAGTTCAAATATGATATCTTAGACAGGAAGGCATTTGCAATTATTTCAGAAAACTATGCCAAAATATTCACGTACAGTATCTCATATGACAAATTCAATAAAATCTTCTCCGAGAAACAAATTTTTATAGTAAAGTTCTGTGTAAATCAGTCCAGGTGGCTTCCTTTTACAAGAACAAGCAGGATTATTTTCAAAGTGATAGAACTGGGGGCTAGTGAGAGAGAACCCAAACTGATTGGCAACAGGAGTTTCCTCAGTAGTCATCCGGGAAGGGAGTTTTTGCTTCGTCAGAAGTGACTGGCCTCTTATTTTGAAAGAGAGTGAACCATCGTCCCTTGAAACAAGAGATAAGTGGGAGAAAGGGCTGCTTAAAAATTATTTTACAACTATTTCCTTTTGAGCAGGGACTTCTTAAACTGGAATGTGATCCAGAATAGCTACCCTTTGAATCCAACATTTGTCTTAAACGTTTTTATTGTCTCTCTTTTCCCTCATCTCGTCTCACTTTTTCCCTCTGCTCAACAGATTTACACTGACTGGGCCAACCACTACCTAGCAAAATCAGGCCACAAGCGGCTGATCAAGGATTTGCAACAAGACATTGCAGATGGAGTACTGCTAGCAGAAATCATCCAGATCATCGGTAAGATCTTCCCTCTGAGAGAAAGCATGGAAGTCCCACCCCACTCCCCTTTGGTGAAATACAATTTCAACTGAATGCACACTGACTTGGTCCATGTGTCTCTGAGATTAATGTAGCTGTCTCCTGATTTAATTAAAAAATGTTTATGTGAGGCTGTTTAAAAAAGCAGTTTGACCATACTTTTAAATGGCTTGAACTGTATCTTTACATACACTGAATTGGCAGAAATGAATGCTTCATAAAACCATATGTCTCCCATGTGTGCATTTCGTTAGCTGGAGCAACTCATACGCTCCGAGATTCCTTGAAACTGTATCCTGATCCTGCAGGGACAATTGTGAAAGGTTTCATGTCAGCAGTCATTTGGCACAGGCTAAAGAATTAGCAGCAACTTACTTCTCACTCACTTTTTTTTTTTTTTTTTTTGCCTGGTTTCTGCATATGGAATTGGCGGCCACTAACAAGTGTGTCTCTCTTGTACACAGCTTGGGAGACAGAGAAAATGTAGAAGCAGTAGTTTGCTTGGAGATTTTTTTTTATTATTATTTTAAATCTCCTTTTTCTCTAATTTCAGTTCATTGCTTAAGCATGTTGTTCTTTGATTTTATTTCTTGGCTTTAGCAAATGAAAAAGTTGAAGATATCAATGGATGTCCTAGGAGTCAGTCTCAGATGGTAAGAATCACATTTATTATCAATAAATAATGCTTTTCTTTGCTTCCAGAATTAACTATTTGTAAATGAAATAGGCATTTTTTTTTTCCTGCATGTCTTTCTACTTGTTTCAGATAACGTTTGATCACATCCTATCATATATTTCTTTATGGGTGCAATTTATGATCAAGGGATAGTATCAATACAGTTGAGTAAGTCTGATTTCTGTAGAACTTATCTCCAAGTGTTTTTTCAGATCCTTGACTTGTTTTGGTCTGATGTTCTGAGTATTTGAATTGACCTCTAGTACTGATGGCAGTAAGTCCCATTCTTAATTTTCAGTGGAGCCTTTTTGTCTGAACAACTGGTTTGAAGACTAGAACTTGCCACTGTGTATTTTAAAAATATATAAATAGTTTTTTTTGTTGTTGCTGTTCATAGAAAGCCTAGTATAAGGACATGGACTCTTCACCACTTTTGGAAGTAGCTCTAAAAGCATACTGCTGGAAGTTTACTAAGCAATGACTGACTGTGAGGTATGATTTATAGCTTCTTCCAGAAAGCTGTTGATCTAGAGATCTATCTCCACCACTACCCCCAGCTCTTTCTTATCTTTGCTGACTAATAAAGCTTAAAGATTTTACCTTTTTATACTAAAATTTCACAATAAAAGTTTCATAATAAAATCTCAGATTGATAAACTGCTAAAATAAAAAAAATTACTTCTTGCTTAATTAAATAGCTACAACTTAATTTTATAGGACAACCTGAAATACAAATGTACTAAACTGAAGGTACCTCAGACACACAGCAGGAATTATAGCCAAAATCCACAAGATAAGGCTTCCCCAAACACTCTTTTTAGCTCTGAATAAGCATTTTATATGATCTTAGTAAGTTCTTAATTGTCAGAAACTGGAAGAATGGAAAACAATTATGAACTTTTTTGACCTGATGGTCTGTTTTACTTAATGTCAGAAAATTGAAATCCAGAGTAATAAAAGGGCTTTATTTTAAAGAGTGATTAACTAGCACATTTTTTATTGTTATTTTTAATTTTTTAATAAGCACTCCAAGGACCTATTCCAATGTCATGAACTCTATATAGCTGTGGTGAAAAAAATCAATATAAAGGAAAGGTTCTTTATAAAATACTTCCATTTAGAGGAAGTATCCTGATCTAATTACACTGTGCACAAACATGATTCCATGGAAATTAATAATAGATGTTTTCCAAAGTTTTACTTAGAGCAAACTGAATTAGAATATGTGCAGGCTCTTCTATGTAACATCTTTGTGATGTTGAGAAGAACATGTAACCTCTCTGAGCCTAGCTATCTCATCTATAAAATGAATTCCAATTAGGATATGATATGATATATGTATGGAAACCCTGGTGGCATAGTGTTTAAGAGCTACAGCTGCTAACCAAAAGGTTGGCGGTTCGAATCCAAAAGGCGCTCCTTGGAAACTCTAGGGAGCAATTCTACTCCATCCTATAGGGTCACTATGAGTCGGAATTGACCCGACGGCAGTGGGTTTTTTATGATATCATGTATATAATATTCCTTATTAACTAAACTGATATGCAAATGCAGAATAGTATTGCTATAAACTTTATAAAGAACACATTCATGGATGTAACACCTGTTGAAATATCTTTAGGGCTTTATATTAAAAAGTCCTTAATCCTTAAAATAAAAAATTATGTTTCTTGAACCCATCACTGTTGATTTTGCTTTTATTATTTCAACCATAGGAGGTGTTTGGTGCTATAAAATATCTTACTCTAGAAATGCTTATCTACTCTTCTATCATTCCAATTTGATTCTGAGTACAGAGAATCTGATAAATGAGCTAGCTTGTATTTGATGATAGGATAGAAATCCACTTATTAGATATTTTTCTGAAACATATATACCTGTAGATTCTACAAATCTAGGAATATATTCGTATGAGTACCAGACTGTATTAATTTTTTATAACTTCCTACCCCTTATTAGCTCCAAAATATCATGGAGCGGATAAAGTGCATATTATGTTGATTCTTCTGCTTCTGATAAAAAATAGACCAAAGCTTGAGAAAAGCAAATGTTATGAAAAAAGGGAGTTTTTCTAGCCAAAAAGTATTAGTCAGGATCACATTGAATTTTAAGTAAGAATGACTTGGAACCATATTTTTTTCTGATGTGGTTGAATTTTGAACCTGAAACTGGGCACACCCTCAATAAGTTGATTCAGAATTATACGTATGAAATAAATTTAACTCTTTTGATTGGATCCTTTTTGTCTCTGTTCTTGTGAATTGGCATTGGCACTATGTTATTAATGAATAAAAATTCCAGACTTTAACTAAAGAAAGTAGAGGAAAGAGAATTATGGTAGCATGACTAGGCTTATGAATTTCATATATCTATTCCAAACAGGATGTTGCTTGTTTTATTATTGCATAACAACTGAGAGGTGCTGTGTTAGTAACAGGGAGTGCTATCCTTGTTCATAGAACAACTTTGACCACATCTTTCTGTTTATTTGATCTTTTGTGGCCTTTGGTAGCTGTTGGTGTTTAAATAACAAAAACTAGATCTGCTACTGTTTCTAGTTACAAATGGTCTTTATTTCAATTTAAAATTTGATACCTTTATTTTATTGTTTAAGACTTTACAAACAGAAATTCTTGTTTGATGATGTGAATACCCAAAACTCATTGCTGTTGAGTCGAATCCGACTCATAATGACCCTGTAAGACAGAGTAGAACTGACCCACAGGGCTTCCAAGGCTGTAAATCTTTATAGGAGCAAACTGCCACACCTTTCTCCTGTGGAGAAGCTGGTAGGCTCTAATCACCAACCTTTCAGTTAGAAAGTGGAGTACTTAACCACCGCACACCAGGGCTCCCTGAATCTACAATAGATTGCTGAATTCTCATAAGAGCCTGGTAATTCATATTTAACCAATCTTTACTGAATACCTAAGGTTCTGGACATAAAGAACTTGAATGAACTACATTTGAGGAGCAGAAGGGTAAATATTTAAATAACAGCAAGAGTGTTGGATAGGCAAGAAGAAAAGGGCTGAGAAGGGGGTGAGCTTGGTTGTGTTCCAGAAGCAAGATAGAAGACCATTGTGAATGGAGGACAGTGAGGGACATTTGGAGGGGAAGACAGAAGCCTGATCATATAGAGCCAAGGTAAGGAGTTTGTGTGTTATACTGAGTTTATCCAGAAACCTTTGGAAGATTTTTAAAGCAGAACTGTGGCATAATCTGATATACATATTAAAAAGATCTTGCCAGATGCTTCCTGAGAATTATAGGATAGTAAGTTTTGGTCTCCAGTTGGGTGTGGGAGATGAGGAGTATAGAAACCATAAAATTGTCCCATTTTTGTGTGTGAATGAGTTAAGTGGTACTGCTAAACAAAGTGGTTATTATAAAGGGAGAAAACAGATTAAGGGGTAGAAGGGGAAAGATGAGAAATCTTATTTTGGCATATAGAGTTTGTTGTATCTATTAGAGCATCAAGGAGTCCCTGTTTGGTGCAAACAGTTAAGTTCTCTGTTACTAGCCAAAATGTTAATGATTCAAACCCACCCAGATGTACCTCGGAAGACAGGCCTGACAATCAGCTTCTGAAAGGTCATAGCCTTGAAAACCCTATGGAGCAATTCTACTCTGTACACATGTGGTTGCCATGAGTCAAAATCGACTGGAAAGCCACTAATAACATTGGAACATCAAACTGGATGTGACTTTAGGCAATTAGACATGTGTTTTTGAAGGTTAGAAGAAACGTGTGGGTTAGGATATGCCTAGTGTATAGGAAATAGTTGAAATGATGGATTAGGATGAAATCTCACAGAAGTCTGTTTAAAGTCAGAGGGCACAAACCCTGAGGTTCTGACAGTGGGTGATATCAATATTTATGCAATGGGCAGAGGTATAGAAGTCAGAAAAGGGCAAGGGTGGTGAGAGAATGAGACTAGCACTGAGAGAGTGAATCACAGATGTGGATTTGTTAATCTTTAGGGTAGATATGATAATTGAAGCCAGGGTACTTGAACTGATCCAGTGAGACAGCACAAAGTGAGAGGACCAGAGTATGGAAGATGCTGTCAAATGCCACATAGTTAGTTGTACACTAGTTGGTGTACTGGGATGAGGAAGTTATAGTTCTGATAATTAGACAGGCATTAGTGACCTTTATGTGAACATTTTCTATAGAATAATAGTACGATAAGGAGTAACTGAGAGGTGGAGATCTCCGCTGAGTCTTGAATGATATTCCTACAAGTTTCCTGTTGAAGAGAAGAAAAAAATATATACAGTTCAAGAGGAAGGCAGGGTTGAAAGGAGTTTGTGCAAAGAGGAAAAATAAACAGAGAAAGAGGAAGAGGGTGAGGGAGAAAGGAGGATCTAAGGGAATGAGGAAACAAATGATGATACCAAGTCCCGAATGAAGTGACAGAAAAGGAAATTTAAAGGCCATGTGAAAGATTTAATCTTGGAAAGGAATGCCAGTACACTGTCCTTTGTGTCATGTCATAAAGTGGTATGATCAGTAGAGATGTAGATATTTAGAGGTGGAAGTAAATAGACATTGAAAGAATTAAAATCAATGCACTAGCTTCAGATTTTAGATAATACTAATGTCCTATTTTCCATGTGACTTGTTACCTTATAATATATGAAGAATAAATATAAATATTTATTTATATAAATAAGATCGCATATTGAAATAAACTGTGAATGCATCCTTTCAAGAATTTATGAACACTAATATTGAGAACTTTTGATTCATATTTAAGTTTCAAAGTCATGGTTATGTTTTATTAAGGAACTTGACACTCAACTCATCCTGAAAAAAAAACAAAAAACTTAGTTTGTCGGAGCTTATTAAACACTATGTTTAAGTTTATCCAAAGATGAAGTTACTAATATGGATGGCACCTGTTGAGTAATTCCTAGGTGGGTGGTATCAGGATTCAAAATATATGCTGCATGCCACAACTTTGGTGAGCT